CCCGTCCTAGTCTCATCCTCATCCCATCCCACCCTTATCCCATCCCCATCCCTTTCCCAGCCGCATCCCTATCCCTGTCCCCATCTCACCCCTATCCCACGGCTGACAGGGACAGCCCAGGACAATCCAGCCTCCGATGGAGCCAGGAGCCGCTCCGCTCCCACCATGCGTTTGGCAGCACCTTCAGCCAACAGAAACTTCTTTTACCTCCAAAACCTCCCCTTTAATCTCCCCAAAGATCCCTTTCATCTCCCCAAATCCCTTTGCTGCACAGGGAGAGCTCTGCCCGCTCCAGGCCGGGATCCTCCCTCCGTTGGCTTCTCCGAGCCGGGAAGGACAGAGCCACCTTTGTTCTGTCCCTGCTCCTATTGCTGCAGGAAATGTCACAGGGCCCTTGGCGCCGGCGGCTTTGCCATCCCTCTCCTGGCACGTCCGTGCTGGGAATCTCCGGGATAGGGAGAAGAAAGGGACCCACAAGCGCTGGGCGATGGGAGATGCGCTGGGGAGATGGGGGTCAGGGGCATCGCTGCGTGTCCCCACATCAGGGCTTTAACTGGGATGGATGCGGAGCCAAGCCAGGCTTGCTCCATCTCCCACCATCGTGGGGTCAATGGGATGCTGATCCTCACCCTCAGCCATTCCCAGCCTCCCAAAATCCTCCTTGCAGCGGGCACCGGATAAACCCCGTCATTGTCCCCCCCTGCCTCATGTATAATTCAGCACATGGCAAGGGCAAGACCTGCCCTTTGCAGTGAGGGACCCCCCCTTGGGGACCTCAGTGGGAGGCCGGGGACCGTTCCCAACACAGCTTTATAAAGAGGCGATGGAGGAGCAGCCGGCTGGGATGGGAGCAGGTGATTCCCCATGGGATACCCCCTGGTGGCAGGTGAAGAGGTGGTTTTATGGCTTTAATAGTGGGATAAAAGCTCTTAAGGACGCCTCGCTGGTTGTATGGCATTTCCCTGTGCTGGGAACCCATTGGAAGTGGGATGCGCGGTCCAGCCCGGAGACTGGGATCAGTGCAGCCCAGTGAGGAATCCCAGCCTCAAACAATGCCTGGGTGCATTCCTCTTGGAGAGAGGGTGTCTTGGGACACGTTGGAACAGTGGTGGAATGACTGTCCCTGGAAGTGATCACACACCACGTCTATGAGGCCCTGAGTGCCATGGGTTAGTGATGGCAGCGCTTGGGAATGCTTGGGCTTGATGAGCTTAAAGCTCTTTTCCAACCTGATTCCATGATTCTATGCCAGCAATCGGAGGAGGAGGGAGAGCTGCAACCCCTGCCCTTGCTCTGCCGCAGCCAGAGGTGAAGCCACCGCTCCCTCAAGCTGCTCCAAGGGCTTTCTAAGGCTCCCCCCATGGATGGCCGGGAGCCAGGCAGCAGCACATCACGGAGCCGGCACGAGGCCGGCAGGGACCGGCTGCATCCGCGACGCCTGGGGCTGAGCCAGCAAAGATTGGGCTTAATCACATGTTAACCTCAGCCCCATGCCAGGATCCATCCCTCTTCCCTGACCTCCCTGGCTCCGGTAACCAGAAACCACCAGGGAATTTTTCCAGTCTCATGATAACAGCAAACGTCACATCCCAAAGGAGCACAGGCGCTGCCAGCTGGGTGGGATGGGGTGAAGCCAATGGGATGGAGCTTCTGGGGGCATCCTGGGGACAGCAACCGGTGCCAGGGGTTTGGGATCCAAACCCGGATTTCATTTCGGAGCGGGGAAAAGGAAAGGGATAACTGGACCTAAAGAGCTGGGAAACAGCCACAGCCTTTAGCATTCCCCATGGGAAAGGCATCCCCAGGCTGCTGTTTCCTAGGAGCTCAAGCCTGGATGCTTCCCCAAGCACCACTGACCACGGTGAGGGGGACATTGGGATGAATCCCCTAAAAGTCCTCAGATACCCAAAGCATGGGTTGGATGGGGTGACTCGGAAAGAGGAGCTCTGGGACACGCGGGGCCTTCCATTCACTTCTGCTTTCCCTGGCTCACGCTGGCTCCAGGAGGCTGCTGCTCTATTTAGGGAGCTGTGTCCCAGCCCAGCAGCAGCAGAAATAGGGGAGGGGAAATGAAAATGAACCCTGGTTGGCTTCAGAGCATCCTCATCTGCTGCACATGGGAGCAGGGGCTGATCAATCAGAGCCCTAAGAGCTGAGACCTGGAATAAACCATGGCCCCTCATAACAACTGCGACCCCTAAAAGACAAGATCCCCCCAAAACAATGGTCATAATAGCCATGACCCCTAATAACTGGACCCCCAAAACCATGGTCCCTAATACCAATGACTCCGAATAACTACAATCCCCAAAACCATGGTCCTAATAACCACAACCCCTAATAACTGGGACCCCCAGAACCGTGGTCCCTAATACCAGTGACTCCTAATAACAGGGACCCTCAAAACCATGGTCCCTAATAGCCACAACCCCTAATAACTGGGACCCCTAAAACCATGGTCATAATAGCCATGACCCCTAATAAATGGGATCCCCAAAATCTTGGTCTTAATAGCCATGACCCCTAATAAATGGGGACCCCAGAACCATGGTCCCTAATAACCATGACAACTAATAACTGAGACCCCAAGAACAGGGTCCCTAATAGCCATGACCCCTAATAACTGGGACCCCATAAACATAGTCCCTAATAACCTAATAACCCAATAACCCAATAACCCTGACCCCTAATAACCCTGCCCCCCCAAAAGACATGGCCTTTAATAACCCCAATCCCTAATAACCCTGACCATAGCCATAGCCCCTAATGAGTGTGACCCCTAATAACCATGACCCCTAATAAATACAATCCCTAATAACCCCAACCCCTAATGATGCTGCCCCCAGGCCTTCTGGCTTCCCAGTGGGGTGAGATTCCCGGTTGCACAAGCATCCCCCAAACCCCTCATCACCCTCTTCCATGCTTCCCATTTTCCCTTTGAGTTGTCATCTACAAACACCCAGTTTTCCCAGCTATAAAACAAGGGGCAAGGAGCACATCCCGGCTGCTGGGAGGTGGGAATTTTGCAGCCCCAATTCCCCCTTGGATACTTCCACCTTTGGTTTTGGGGTGGTTCTAAACCCACCTCCCCTCGGATTAATCCGTAAGCTCCACTCCTCCGATGAGGGCAGTAATAATGGGATTATCCCGATCTGGCTGCGGGACAGGGAAGCTCATTATGGAGCATTAAAGAGGGGAAAATTGGGATTTCTGAGGTCTAATAAAAGCTCATTTCCTTCCGGGCATCTCCCAGGCTCATTTTGGGCTCATTTGTGGGGTTTTTCGCAGTTTGCCAGGATCTGGGAATGCTTTTCAGCCCGTTCAGGTTTGGGGAAACTGAGGCCCAGCGGCCACAGCGCTGCATGGGGACCAGTTCCATGTCCCTCAATGCACCCCATAGGGCAGCCCAGGACTCGGTGGGTAAAGTGGGGTGAGGCACTTTGGGGGGGCTTTTCCCTATGAAAACACGGGAAAGGAGGATGGGGAGGGGGAAAACACCCCAATGAAGGCCTTGGGTTGAGGATCCCCCCCCAGTGACTGACCCAGCGTCACCGAGGGCCTCAGTTTTGATGGGAAAAGGGGAATTTGCCCCTTTTTCCAGCAGCCCTTTGGGTTCCAGCATCGCGAGGACCAACAGTGCCACCTACCGAAACAGCCCTCGCCGCTCCTGAGCCCTCATCGCACCCTTTTCCCCATCCCAAAGCGCATTCCCACGTTCTTAGGGACACAAACCCCCCCAACCCATCCCCTGTTTGTCCCTATGGGGCAATGGCAACTGCCCATCCCCATCACATCAAGCCTTGTCCCTGTAGGGTTCCCATTTATACTCCTGGGCCTGTTTTAGGTCCCTTTTAGGGCTTGGAAAGTTCCGTTTGAACCCAAACCATTCCATGACCAAGTCTTTGTGGCCACTGAGTCCCACACGTTCTTAGGGACACAAGAACCCTCATCCCAACCCCTGTTTGTCCCTATGGGGCAATGCCAGCTGCCCATCCCCATCACATCAAGCCTTGTCCCTATAGGGCTCCCATTTATACTCCTGGGCCTGTTTTAGGTCACTTTAGGGCTTGGAAAGCTCCGTTTGAACCCAAACCATTCCATGACCAAGTCTTTGTGCCCACTGAGTCCTACATGTTCTTAGGGACACAAAACCCCCCGCAGTCCAACCCCTGTTTGTCCCTATGGGGCAATGCCAGCTGCCCATCCCCATCGCATCAAGCCTTGTCCCTATTTGTCTCCCCTTTATACTCCTGGGCCTGTTTTAGGTCCCTTTTAGGGCTTGGAAAGCTCCGTTTGAACCCAAACCATTCCATGACCAAGTCTTTGTGCCCACTGAGTCCCACACGTTCTTAGGGACACAAGAACCCTCATCCCAATCCCTGTTTGGGCAATGCCAGCTGCCCACCCCCATCGCATCAAGCCTTGTCCCTGTAGGGTTCCCCTTTATACTCCTGGGCCTGTTTTAGGTCCCTTTTAGGGCTTGGAAAGCTCCTTTTGAACCCAAACCATTCCATGACCAAGTCTTTGTGGCCACTGATCCCCATCACATCAAGCCTTGTCCCTATAGGGCTCCCATTTATACTCCTGGGCCTGTTTTAGGTCCCTTTTAGGGCTTGGAAAGCTCTGTTTGAACCCAAACCATTCCATGGCCAAGCCTTTGTGCCTACTGAGTCCCACACGTTCTTAGGGGCACAAGAACCCCTGTTTGTCCCTATGGGGCGATGCCAGCTGCCCATCCCCATCACATCAAGCCTTGTCCCTATAGGGCTCCCATTTATACTCCTGGGCCTGTTTTAGGTCACTTTTAGGGCTTGGAAAGCTCCGTTTGAACCCAAACCATTCCACGCCCAAGCCTTTGTGCCCACTGAGAGGGGAAACTGAGGCACACCCAGTCCTGCCCATTAGACCCCAACGAGCCCCACCTGCGGCTCATTGAGTACTTAAGGGCCCCTATAGAAACCTATATAAACCCCTAACCCCAGCTCCGCTCCATTCACGGCTATGGAAGGAGCCGGGGCACAGCCGGCACTGGGGCCCCTGCTGCCCACCCCGGCCCCGGAGGTGCTGGAGCGGGTGCTGAGGGAGCTCCACGGCCCCTTGCCCTGCGCTGCCTCCATCGCCCGCCTGCGGAAGGGGCCGGCCGGGGGGTACGAGCCGGCCGGGGGGGCCGGGGATGCGCTGGAGAGGAGGCAGTTGGCCAATGCCAAGGAGCGGCAGAGGGTGAGGGGGGAGCCCCGGCCCCACACTTGTGGGGGTGATGGGGGGGGCAGCACCCGGGGCAGCGATGGGTGCTTGGGCGGTTGGCATTAGGCTTCTGCTGGGGTCGTGAATAGGGGGAAGTCTTTGGGGGGGGTCTGGTTTAATATGGGGGGTTATATAACATATATTTAATGTTTATTATATTTAATACAGTATTATTATATTAAATATAATATTATTATACTAATATTATTTCTATTAATAATTATAGTATATTAATTTTTAACATATTATATTCAATATAACATTATTATATTAATATCTTAATATATTACTTAATAATATCATGTTACTATATTAATACATTATATTAATATGTTTTTTCTATAATATGGGGGGTTTCATATATTTTCAACCTAAAGGGACCTGGTTTAATCCTTAGGGCCTGGTTAGATCCCAGTTTAATGCTATGGGAGGCCAGGTTTAACCTTGGGAAGTTCTGGCTTGGTTTTAGGGGGGGTCCTGGTTTAATCCTGGGGGTTCCAGTTTAACCCTTACAGAGCCCAGTTTAATCCTGAGGGACTGGGGTTAATCCTAGGAGGACCTGGCTTAATTCTGGGGGGCCTGGTGTGACCCTAAGAGGGTCTGTGTTAATGGGGGGGGGGCTGATTTGATCTTGGAGGACCCAGTTTAATCCTATGGAGGAGCAGGTATCATCCTAGAAGCTTCTGGCTCAAGTTGGGTTGGAGATGGCTTGATCCTAACAGAACCTGGTTTAATCATGGGGGTCCAGGTTAACCCTAAAAGGACCTGGTTTAAATTGGGAAGGAGCTGGTTTGATCCTAGGGGGGGCCTGGTTCTATCTCGGGGTGCCCAGTTTAATCCTGAGTAGAGGCTGGTTTAGTCCTAGGAGGACCTGGCTTCGTTTTAGGGGGGTGATGGTTTAATCCTGGGATACACAGATTCACCATAGGAAGGCCTGGGTTAATCCTGGGGGGCCCAATTCAATCCTGAAGGTGCCCTGTTTAATCCTAGCAGCACATGGCTTAATTCTGGGGGTGCCCATCTTAATCTTAGGAGCACATGGTTTAATTTGGGGGGCCCCAGTTTAATCCTAGCAGCACATGGCTTAATTCTAGGGGTGCCCAATTTAACCCTAGGAGCACATGGCTTAATTCTGGGGTCCCTACCTTAATTCTAAAGGGTCCCAGTTTAACCCCATGGTGCCCAGTTCACCCTTGGGGTCCCCCCCCATGCACCCCAATGGGTTTTCCCTCTCTTTATCCCCCCCTTGCAGATCAAGAACATCAACAGCGGCTTCTCCAAGCTCAAGGCCTTGGTGCCCCTGGTCCCCCGCGACCACAAGCCCAGCAAAGTGGACACCCTCAAGGCAGCCACCGAGTACATCCGGCTGCTGCGGCTGGTGCTGGAGGAAACGGGGGGGCTCAAGGTAAAGGGGGGGTCACCCCAACATCAACCTCCCCTGTTTCAGTCTGAACCCATCACCCCTTGTCTCATCCCTACAGTCCCTGATGAAGAGCCCCTCTCCAGCATCCTTGTAGCCCCCTTCAGACACTGGAAGATGCTCTGGGGGTGCAGCCCCGCACATGGGGGGGTTCTCATTGACTGACACCCCCAATTCCTTGTCCTCAGGCTGCTCTCCATCACTTCTCTGCCCAACCTGCACCTGGGGTTGCTCCAACCAAGGGGCAATCCTTGCCCTTGGTCCTGTTGGCATTGGGCACCCCTCAAGCATGTCAATGTCCCCCTGGATGGCAGAAGGATGGGGGGGGGCACAGCACCCTAATTTCAGTGTTTTCTCCCCCCTTCTCATGCCAACAGGATGCTGATGCCAATCAGGATCTGGGTGATGCCGCTGGGACCAGGCCTGGCACTGTCCCCCTGTATCCATGGGTTGCCCCTGTGCTGCCCCCCAACCCTGGGCTGCTACAGGAGAGTGGGGAGCTGGTGAGTTGGGGGTCAGGGTTGGAGTGATGGGGTTGGGTGCACCCAAGAGGGGGGACAAGATGGGATGGGGACACCCATGAGCCTTGCAGGGAGCTCCCACCCCAGAGCTCAGGCTTTGGGGAGCCTCTGATTTATATCAACACATTATATCTATGTACTTACATATATTTATGCCCCAAAATACTCCAAAATGAGCAAAACCTTGCATTTGGGGGCTTGTTTTTGAAGGTTTTACCAGCCAATCCCTAAAAAACCCTGGAATCTCCAGCAGAGACCCACGGGGGACCTGGTGTGATGCCAAGTTTGATGCTCCAGCACTTCCTTTGGGGGCTGCCTCCTGTCCCACGGCCGGATCCAGCCCCACATCCCATTACACTGCCCCTCAACCTACCTATCCCCAACACGGGGGGGGGGGGCATCACTCCTCAACCACGATGGTGAGGCCAGAGCTGTAATTAATAGCTTTATGTGAATGTAATTAGCAATTAGCAGCTCTGCTTCCCCCCCCTTTATTTAATGGAACTCCCAATTCACCATCTATCTCATAATAAAAGAGGATTTTGGGGGGTGTCCATGCTGCTCCTGTGTGCTTCCCACCACGTTTATTTGCACTCAGTGGGTGTCCCGGGGGGGTTCTGTGGATTCCCCCCCACCTCTATGGGGCGGAGCGTGTTGGCAGAAGGAGCTGGACCTGCGCGGGGGGGGGCCCTTTGTCAGGATGCTCTGAAGAGGAGGAGGAGGATGCTCTGAAGGAGGAGGTGGGTGATGGCAGCATCCTCCCGGCCGCAGCATCCCCATCCATGGGAGGGTTTTGGGGGGGGGGAGCAACAAATCGGGTGACCCCCCCATCTCTTTCCCGTCTTTTATCACCCTCCCTAAGCAGGCTGCATGTAGGTTGGGGGTGCTGCATCTATCCCCCCCCCATTTCCCTGGCCTTTATCCTCTGTGGGCGGTGGGTACCAATCCCCCCCTTTCCCCCCTTCAATCCGCATCCATGGGGGACGCGGTGCTGCATCCAGAACAAGGGAAATTCCCTGTTTTTCATCCTCATCCGCCATCCCTGCGGCTGCCGCAGCGGCGCTGGGTGCGGCGAGGGCGGAGGCGGCCGGGAATGTTGGATGGATGGATGGATGGGGGGTGGGAGCATGGGGGTGTCGTTTATTCCCCCCCCCCCGCTATTCCCAGCACGCAGTGATGCGGGGGGGGCCTTTAGAGACCCCTCTGCTCTTCCTCCTTCCTCTTTGGGGGGGGATTCCTGCTCGGATGCTCAGGATCCTGCCACCCCCTGACGTTCGCCCTTCGGTGGGGACCCTCCCAGGGAATTCAAGCCTGGAAAAGGCTCCCTGCTTCCCTGTGAGCCAGGTGGGTACTGGAGCAGCAAAGCTGGGGCAGGGGGGACACGACGACATGGGGGGCTACGGAGGATATAGGGGGCTATGGAGGATGTGGGGGACTCTGCTTTTGCATTGGGGGAAGCACTGAGCGTTGGGGAGGGGAGGGATGCTCTGTTTGGGGGGGGGGGTCCTGTGGGATTTGGGGGGAGCAGCTCAGGTTTGGACCACCTCTGCACCCCCTATACGGGGGTGTATTTGGGTCTCTTCCCCCCTCATTTTGGTGCAGCAGCACCCCTAAAACACCCCACCGAAGACTTGGTGGCGTTATGGGGGTCACAGCGGCAGGGCTCGGTCCCCGACAGTGGCACAGTGGCATCGATCCCAAGCGCGATCGATGGGGAGCATCCCTCAGGGCGGATGCCGTCGGTGCTGCTCCCATCAGTGCACTGAGCCGCCCGTTCTCAGCCACTGCTTGTTTTGGGGGGGGGGGGGTGGGGTGATTTGAGTGCTTCAGCCCCCCCCCCCCATCATGTCCTGAAGGTGCCAACTCATCACAGGGATGGGTTGTCCCTATGGGGAGGGCGGAGGCCGGATGGGGCTTATCTCCAGCGTGCAGCTTGGGGGTATCCGCGGTGCCTGCTTCCCAATCCGTATCTGCGGAGGGCGCTGGCGCTGACCGTGGCCCCGCGTTCGTGTGCAGGATGAGCTCCGTGGCCAGCCCCGAGCCCCTGCCCGAGCCCCCCGGCCCCGGGTCCCGTTACCTGGAGAGCTTGGCTGAGGAGGACCCCGAGTACCTGCGGGCTCGGAACATGGCAGCGGACCTGCGGCAGGACTTCAACATGATGGAGCAGAAGAAGAGGGTCACCATGATCCTGCAGAGCCCGGTAAGCGGCGGCACCTCCCGGGGTCTGAAACCCGTCCCTCCTTGTCCTCAAACCCCATCCCTCCTGGTCCCCGCATCCTTCGCTCCTGTGCCCCCAAACCCTGCCCCTCCTGTCTCCAGCCTTGATCCTCCTGCCTCTCTCCCTCCTATCTCCCTTTGTCCCCAAATACTATCCCTCCTTGTTCCCAAACTCTGTCCCTCCTTATCTCTAAAATATATCCTTCCTGTCCTTAAATCCCATCACTCCTGTGCTTCAGACCCCATCCCTCCTTGTCCCCAAACCTCATCCCTCCCGTGCCCCCAAACCCCATCCCTCCTGTGCCCCCAAACCCCATCCCTCCTGTCTTCCAAACCCTATTACTCCTTGTCCCCAAATTCCATCCCTCCTGTCCTCAAACCCCATCCCTCCTGTCTTCCAAACCCTATTCCTCGTCCCCAAACTCCATCCCTCCTGTCCTCAAATCCCGTCACTCCTGCGCTCAAAAACCCATTCCTATTTGTTCCCAAATCCCACCCTTCCTGTGTCCAAACCCCGTCCCTCCTTGTCCTCAAACCTCATCCCTCCTGTGCCCCCAAACCCCATCCCTCCTATTTTTCAAACCCTGTTCCTCCTTGTCCCCAAACCCCATCCCTTCTGTGCCCCCAAACCCCCATCCCTCCTGTGCCCTCAAACCCCATCCCTCCTGTCTTCCAAACCCCATCCCTCCTGTACCCCCAAACCCCATCCTTCCTGTGCCCCCAAAACCCATCCCTCCTGTCTTCAAAACCCTATTCCTTCTTGTCCCCAAACTCCATCCCTCCTGTCCTCAAATCCCGTCACTCCTGTGCTCCAAAACCCATTCCTGTTTGTCCCCAAATCCCACCCTTCCTGTGTCCAAACCCCATCCCTCCTTGTCCCCAAATCCTCTCTCTCCTCATCCCCAAACCCCATCCCTCCTGTGTTCCAAGCCCTATTCCTCCTTGTCCCCAAACTCCATCCCTCCTGTCCTCAAACCCCATCCCTCCTTGTCCCCAAATCCTCTCTCTCCTCATCCCCAAACCCCATCCCTCCTGTGTTCCAAGCCCTATTCCTCCTTGTCCCCAAACTCCATCCCTCCTGTCCTCAAGCCCCATCCCTCCTTGTCCCCATATCCTCTCTCTCCTCACCCCCAAACCCCATCCCTCCTGCCCTAACTCTCTCTCCTCACCCCCAAACCCCATCCCTCCTCTCCCAAGCAAATGCCCCTGTCTTGGATGGGGGCACGTCCCCCGCTGCCCGGTGGTGCCAGCACCATGCCCCCAAGCTGGCAATGTCCCTGCCACCGACCCCATGGGGCTGCGGTCCCCACGTTAGCAGTGGTGGCACTGCTGACCCGCTGCTGATGCCACCCAAGCCACCGATGCTGCCAGCACCGACCCGGTGGTACCCGCACCCCGGTGCCACCGGCTGCTCCCTCTTCGGTCACCGCATCCCTGTGGGGATGGGGATGACACCGGTGGGGCCGGGGTGCCGCAGTCTTTCAGGGAGGAGCTGGAGAGCCTCATCCAGGAGCAGATGAAGAAGGGGAACAACTCGTCCCACATATGGGCCCTGAGGCAGATCGCCGACTTCATGGCCACCACGTCCCCTGCCGTCCTCCCCACCTCCCCCATGGGTACGGCAGCAGCTTCTTTGGGGCAAAAAGGGAATAATTTGGTGAAATTCTTGAGTGTTTTCCTTAATGTATGGGTTTGGAGGGGAGGAAACACCCCATAGCGCTCCATGTTCTCGTTCCCAGTGGAGAGGGGTGAGGATGGAGGGAGGGCATCGAGGACCACAGGGACAAAGTGGGGGTCATGCTGCAGACCCCAAGTAGCCTCTTCCAAAACCCTGGGATCCCCTAAAACCTTTCAGACTCCCAAACCTTTGGGATCCCTTTATCTTCGGGACCACCAAACCTTTGGAATCCATTCAGCCTTTCGGACCACCAAACTTTGGGATTCCCTTTACCTTTGGGATCCTCCAAATCTTTGGGATCCCTTTATCTTTGGGACCACCAAACTTTTGGGATCCTCCAAACCTTTAGGATTCTTCAAACCTTTGGGATCCCTTTACCTTTGGGACCCCCAGACCTTTGGAATCCCTTTACCTTTGGGACCACCAAACCTTTAGGATCTTTCAAACCTATGGTATCCCTTTACTTTCAGGATCCCTTTACCTTTGGGATCCTCCGAAACTTTGGAATCCCTTTACCTTTGAGACCACCAAACCTTTAGGATTCTCCAAACCTTTGGTATCCCTTTACCTTTGGGACCACCAAACGGTTGGGATCCTCCAAACCTTTGGTATCCCTTTACCTTTGAGACCACCGAACCGTTGGGATCCTCCAAACCTTTGGTATCCCTTTACCTTTGGGACCCCCAAACCTTTGGTATCCCTTTACCTTCAGGACTACCAAGCCTTTGGAATCCCTTTACCTTTGGGACCACCAAACTTTGGGATCCTCCAAACCTTTGGTTTGCCTTTACCTTTGGGATCCCCAAACCTTTGGTTTCCCTTTACCTTTAGGACCCCCAAACCTTTGGAATCCCTTTACCTTTGGGACCACCAAACTTTGGGATCCTCCAAACCTTTGGTTTCCCTTTACCTTTAGGCCCCCAAACCTTTGGAATCCCTTTACCTTCGGGACCACCAAGCCTTTGGGACCCCCAAACCTTTGGAATCCCTTTACCTTTGGGACCACCAAACCTTTGGGATCCTCCAAACCTTCGGTTTCCCTTTACCTTTAGGCCCCCAAACCTTTGGAATCCCTTTACCTTCGGGACCACCAAGCCTTTGGGACCCCCAAACCTTTGGAATCCCTTTACCTTCAGGACCACCAAACTTTGGGATCCTCCAAACCTTTGGTTTCCCTTTACCTTTAGGACCCCTAAACCTTTGGAATCCCTTTACATTCGGGACCACCAAACTTTGGGATCCTCCAAACCTTTGGTTTCCCTTTACCTTTAGGACCCCCAAACCTTTGGAATCCCTTTACCTTCGGGACCACCAAGCCTTTGGGACCCCCAAACCTTTGGAATCCCTTTACCTTTGGGACCACCAACCTTTGGGATCCTCCAAACCTTTGGTTTCCCTTTACCTTTAGGACCCTCAAACCTTTGGTTTCCCTTTACCTTCAAGACCACCAAGCCTTTGGGACCCACAAACCTTTGGTTTCCCTTTGCCTTTAGGACCCCCAAACCTTTGGAATCCCTTTACCTTTGGGACCACCAAACTTTGGGATCCTCCAAACCTTTGGTTTCCCTTTACCTTTAGGCCCCCAAACCTTTGGAATCCCTTTACCTTCGGGACCACCAAACCTTTGGGATCCTCCAAACCTTTGGGATCCTCCAAACCTTTGGGATCCTCCAAACCTTTGGGATCCCTTTACCTTTGGGATCCCTTTACCTTTGGGGCCACCAAACCTTTGGGGCCACCAAACCTTTGGGGCCACCAAACCTTTGGGGCCACCAAACCTTTGGGGCCACCAAACCTTTGGGGCCACCAAACCTTTGGGATCCTCCAAACCTTTAGGATTCTCCAAACCTTTGGTATCCCTTTACCTTTAGGACCCCCAAACCTTTGGAATCCCTTTACCTTCGGGACCACCAAACTTTGGGATCCTCCAAACCTTTGGTTTCCCTTTACCTTTAGGCCCCCAAACCTTTGTAATCCCTTTACCTTCGGGACCACAAAACCTTTGGGACCTCCAAACCTTTGGGATCCCTTTACCTTTGGGGCCACCAAACCTTTGGGACCCCCAAACCTTTGGAATCCCTTTACCTTTGGGACCTCCAAACCTTTGGGACCACCAAACCTTTGGGACCTCCAAACCTTTAGGATTCTCCAAACCTTTGGTATCTCTTTACCTTTAGGACCCCCAAACCTTTGGTATCCCTTTACCTTCAGGACTACCAAGCCTTTGGAATCCCTTTACCTTTGGGACCACCAAACTTTGGGATCCTCCAAACCTTTGGTTTCCCTTTACCTTTAGGACCCCCAAACCTTTGGAATCCCTTTACCTTCGGGACCACCAAGCCTTTGGGACCCCCAAACCTTTGGAATCCCTTTACCTTCGGGACCACCAAACCTTTGGGATCCTCTAAACCTTTGGTTTCCCTTTACCTTTAGGACCCCCAAACCTTTGGATTCCCTTTACCTTCAAGACCACCAAGCCTTTGGGACCCACAAACCTTTGGTTTCCCTTTACTTTTAGGACCCCCAAACCTTTGGAATCCCTTTACCTTTGGGACCACCAAACTTTGGGATCCTCCAAACCTTTGGAATCCCTTTACCTTTGGGACCACCAAACTTTGGGATCCTCCAAACCTTTGGTTTCCCTTTACCTTTAGGCCCCCCAAAACTTTGACACCCCAAACCCAACTCCATCACCCTCCCCTCCCCACGGGAACATCCCGGTGTTGGGAAGGGGGTTTCAAACCAACCCCCCCCCACTTCTCCCTCTCATTTTGGGGGTGCCGCATCCCCAGGGCTGGCTTCTGTCACCCCCATCAACGACCTGCACGGCCCCGAGGCACCGGCGCTGGCCAAGGGCGAGCGGTTGATGCGGTGCAAGGTGGGCAGCATCCACCGCCTGCTGGACCTCTACGGCTGGGCCCAGCTGGGACACGCGGCTGTCACCGTGAGCACCCCTAAAACGGGGGGGATTGGGGGGTTTAGGGTGGATTTGGGGTATTTTGGTTGGGTTTGGGGAGAGAAAGATTATGGGGGGGTTGGGGGCGGTTTTGGGGGTGTATTTGGGGTATTTTGGTGTGTTGGGAGAGAAAGATTTTGGGGGGTTTGGGGCTTTTTTGGTTGGGTTTTGGGAGAGAAAGATTTTTGGGGGGTTGGGGTTTTTTGGGGTGTATTTGGGGTATTTTGGTGTGTTGGGAGAGAAAGATTTTGGTTTTATTTTGGAGGGGGTCGATTTGGGGTATTTTGGTCGGGTTTGGGGAGAGAAAGATTTTGGGGGGGTTTGGGGCTTTTTTGGGGTGTATTTGGGTGTGTTGGGAGAGAGATTTTTTTTGGGGTTGGGGCTTTTTGGGAGGTGTATTTGGGGTATTTTGGTGCGTTGGTTTTGGGAAAGCAAAGTTGGGGGGGCTTTTGGGGGGTGTTTTGGTCAGGTTTGGGGAGACAAAGATTTTGGGGGGGTTGGGGTTTTTTTGGGGTGTATTTGGGGTATTTTGGTGTGTTGGGAGAGAAAGATTTTGGGGGGGTGTTTTTTTTGGGGGGGTGGATTTGGGGTATTTTGGTCGGGTTTGGGGAGAGAAAGATTTTGGGGGGTTTTTGGGGTGTATTTGGGGTATTTTGGTGTGTTGGGAGAGAAATATTTTTGGGGGGTTGGGTTTTTGTGGGGGTGGATTTGGGGTATTTTGGTTGGGTTTGGGGAGAGAAAGATTTTGGGGGGTTTGGGGCTTTTTTGGTTGGGTTTTGGGAGAGAAAGATTTTGGGGGGGGGCTTTTTGGGGGTGGATTTGGGGTATTTTGGTTGGGTTTGGGGAGAGAAAGATTATGGGGGGGTTGGGGGTGGATTTGGGGTATTTTGGTTGGGTTTGGGAGAGAAAGATTTTGGGGGGGGTATTTTTTTGGGGGTGGATTTGGGGTATTTTGGTCGGGTTTGAAAGATTTTGGGGGGGTTTGGGGCTTTTTTGGGGTGTATTTGGGGTATTTTGGTGTGTTGGGAGAGAAAGATTTTGGGGGGTTGGGGGGGTTTTGGGGGTGGATTTTGGGTATTTTGGTTGGGTTTGGGAGAGAAAGATTTGGGGGGGATTTTTTTTTTGGGGGTGGATTTGGGGTATTTTGGTGTGTTGGGAGAGAAAGATTTTGGGGGGTTTGGGGCTTTTTTGGTTGGGTTTTGGGAGAGAAAGATTTTTGGGGGGTTGGGGTTTTTTGGGGTGTATTTGGGGTATTTTGGTGTGTTGGGAGAGAAAGATTTTGGTTTTATTTTGGAGGGGGTCGATTTGGGGTATTTTGGTCAGGTTTGGGGAGAGAAAGATTTTGGGGGTTTTGGGGCTTTTTTGGGGTGTCTTTGGGTGTGTTGGGAGAGAGATTTTTTTTGGGGTTGGGGCTTTTTGGGAGGTGTATTTTGGGTATTTTGGTGCGTTGGTTTTGGGAAAGCAAAGTTGGGGGGTGGGCATTTTTTGGGGTGTTTTGGTCAGGTTTGGGGAGACAAAGATTTTAGGGGGTTGGGGGTTTTTGGGTGTATTTGGGGTATTTTGGTCGGGTTTTGGAAGAGAAAGATTTTGGAGGGGTTTGGTTTTTTTCGGGGTGTATTTGGGGTATTTTGGTCAGGTTTTGTGAGAGAAAGATTTTGGGGAGGTGAGGCTTTTTGGGGGTGTATTTGGGGTATTTTGGTGTGTTGGGGAGAGAAAGATTTTTGGGGGGTTGGGTTTTTGTGGGGGTGGATTTGGGGTATTTTGGTTGGGTTTGGGGAGAGAGATTTTGGGGGGTTGGGGCTTTTTTGGTTGGGTTTTGGGAGAGAAAGATTTTGGGGGGGGGCTTTTTGGGGGTGGATTTGGGGTATTTTGGTTGGGTTTGGGGAGAGAAAGATTATGGGGGGGTTGGGGGTGGATTTGGGGTATTTTGGTTGGGTTTGGGAGAGAAAGATTTTGGGGGGGGTGTTTGTTTTTGGGGGTGGATTTGGGGTATTTTGGTCGGGTTTGGGGAAAGATTTTGGGGGGGTTTGGGGCTTTTTTGGGGTGTATTTGGGGTATTTTGGTGTGTTGGGAGAGAAAGATTTTGGGGGGTTGGGGGGGTTTTGGGGGTGGATTTTGGGTATTTTGGTTGGGTTTGGGAGAGAAAGATTTGGGGGGGATTGTTTTTTTTGGGGGTGGATTTGGGGTATTTTGGTGTGTTGGGAGAGAAAGATTTTGGGGGGTTTGGGGCTTTTTTGGTCGGGTTTGGGGAGAGAAAGATTTTGGGGGGGTTGGGGCTTTTTGGGGGTGGATTTGGGGTATTTTGGTGTGTTGGGAAAGATTTTGGGGGGTTGGGGGGGGTGGGGGTGGATTTGGGGTATTTTGGTTGGGTTTGGGAGAGAAAGATTTGGAGGGGATTGTTTTTTTTGGGGGGTGGATTTGGGGTATTTTGGTTGGGTTTGGGGAGAGAAAGTTTTTGGGGGGGTTGGGTTTTTTGGGGGTGTATTTGGGGTATTTTGGCCAGGTTTTGGGAGAGAAAGATTTTAGGAGGATTTGGGGGTTTTGGTTTTTTTGGGGGGGTATTTTGGTCGGGCTTTGGGAGACAAAGATTTGGGGGGATTTGGGGCTTTTTGGGGGTGTGGGAGGTGTTTGGGGGGTGAGGGCTTTCAGAGCAGGGTGGGTTTGGGGGCTGCAGGGTTTTTTGGGGTGTTTTAAAGATTTCTTTCACTTTTTGATATCTCTTTGGGCTTTTGGGTTAGGGGGTATTTGGGGGTTTTGGTGGATTTGAGGACTTTCAGGGGGGATGGTTCATGGGGGCTTTGGGCAGGGTCAGGGATTGGGGGTACAGTGAGGGGTTTTGGGGTGATTTTAGGATGTCTTTCCCACTTTCATACCCACGTGTGCTTTCTTCACAGCTGCGCGTCA